AAAAAGCGTAAAAGCGTCTGGCTGAACACTTTTGAGCGCTACTTTATGTTCGTGATAAGCAGTCTTCAAAGGCTCTACCCATGTCTGGTAGATGGCCGGGCAGAAACTACCATTTATGCCGATTTTGCGCAAAAGTTCCCCGAACTAGGAGGAATTTCAATTATCCATTAGGCTCTGACAAAAGACTTGGGCAGATTGGTAGCATGGGATTGGCAAACGTGGTCAGAATTATGAAAGCCAAAATTACCTTACGAATTTTCCTATTAGCGCATTTTCACGTGGTGTGCTTTTTTTTTCTGGGAAGATTTTATTGCAATTTTTAAGGCATTTTCATATAAGCCCATCATTTCATCTTCAAACCTGAAGAACTCCTAAGTTGACATCAAACAGGTAACCTCGTCGGAACCTAATTTAACCCTCAAGGAATGAGTGAAGCAGATGTGACTGTACAAACTGCACACAACTTAAATGCTCTTCCCTCTTTCTAGCTGTCATCGTTTGAACCGATTCAACTCCCGTCATAACAGGGTTTGAGTCAGGAGGAAACTCTAGTTCTCCATTTCCATTCGCTTCTAATCCAGCTCCTGCTACCCCATTCGCGGTGTCGCCATATGTAGAAGCGACTTCAACGACGACTTCATTCTCACTACGGTGCACTTTTCCCCAGGTCTCGGTTTCAGAGGGGTGACAGAACTCCTCCCCAATTTCCCACTTGGCGCTTCGCGGCATGAGGCAAATCTTATTTAGTTGTCCCGCGGCTTCAAACTGCAATTACCGTACTCAGCCCGCCTCCCTGCCAATCGATGGGACGCAATATTTTTCGTTGGACAGCTTTCTTTTTTGATTAGTTTCGATTGTTTTTTCTGCTTCTTTTTCGTTTTCATTTATTAGACTTGACTGTTAGAAATGACCCCTCCTATTATCGACGATCAAGACCGCATTGAAATTGAGGCGAGCGGCGAGCAAATTCAAATAATTAAAGGGACTCCTTAACTCACAAATTGCGCGCTCCAATCTTCCTTCGCATTTCTGCAGTACGCGGCAGGAGCGGCGAGTGCGACACAGTGTTCGGGGAGAAGATATGTACCGGACCCGGTTCCAGTGAGGTGACACTATTTTGTAGGAGAAAAGAGCGTGAAGAGATAGCAAAAGTATAACGGTAATTCACTATTTGTCTCGTCGCATCGACTATTTGACCTGCCCTTACAATGCTTATAGGGATTGAAATGTGGACGAGAGGAAAACACAATAAGCAGAAGCTTTGCTGTTCAATCACTTTTCAAGTAATCACTGGATTCAGGCAAAATTTGATCCCCTACGATGTTTTTGGAAGACTAGGTGTCAGGTATGGTATCCCAAGTTGTGAGAAGCATTACTATCAGCAGTTCGGGTTCGTCTACCTACCGGGCTCCTCATCGAAGCTCCTCTGGGAGCTGAGAACCTTACCTGAACAGTGGTCTCTGACGCGCCAAACAAAACTTTATCTGTGTGCGATAGCTCAGGACAGCTTCCAGTCAGGCTGACTGAGCTATCGACCACCCAAGTTCTCTGTCGCTCGAGGCATGCCACTGTTGCGTCTCTGCTAAGCTCGTGACAAATGTATAGAATCGGCCGTGACAAGTGCCGAAACTACATAGATCCAAATCCTAGTTACTGCCATACCCTTTCGGTTCTTTCTTCAACACAAGCTAGGATCACCGGAAATACCCCTTTGTAAAAATCTGTGTTGTGGTTGACTCACCACCTGCATTCTTCCATTTTTGCATGATTTGGACCATTGGAACATGAGGTAACGATTTCCGACGAAACACAAACACATTTCAAGCGGCAATGGCCGACATCAGATTCAAGTCCCGTCTGATCGAGTAGCTTGGTTCATTTCTTACTGATTTCAACCTGGCTGCGTATTTTGCCTGGGATTACGCACATTTCACCCACATTCTGTACCTCGATCCCCTATTCCCTCGCGAGCGGGATCCGGATCAGTCCCTTTCTATTACCCACCGTCATTATCTGAATCGTGCCTCCTGTACTCCTATCAAACTTGTGCGCTCCAGGTATAAATTAGGAATTCTCACCCCGCCCCGCCCACTGTGGGCGTAGTCCAGTCGTACCACCACCTCCTACCAAACTTGCACACTCTAGGGCCAAGGGAATGGGAGTTACGAGGTCTCGGTAGGGCACATACACCGGCACACAATTCGACGCAAATTGACCGACACACCGACCATTTTCAATTTCCAGCTTCCCGTTATGAGGAATGCAACACAGCTTTCTCAGGCGAACATGGAAGGGCATCGAAGATGAGATTCCCAGTCGCAGACCTTCCATCCTGAGAAGGGCGCGACGACTTCAGACTTCAGCTGTTCATTTACCTATTTTCAGCTGGGCGAAACCCAGGAAACCACTCAAAATCCCAGATGAGTGCCACCACGGAACCCAGATTCACTAAATGCAAGGAACCCGGACTGATGGAACAAAATCGTAACCCAACTATCAGGTCTCAGTCACAACTGCTGCACACTTTGGCGGCGCTATTGGTTCGGTTCAACTCAAACCCGGAAAAGTCCTTTCCCCCCCCCCCCCCCGTTCGATATTTTCGATAATGTTTCATCTCAATCTCGAATGATCAACTAGTATTCAGGAAAAAACACTGTACTCGAAAACATAAACAAATATTAACATCAGTAACCCTATATTACTTGATCTATTCTTTTTCTTCTTCTTGAAAACTCAGAGGCACAGTTCACGTTAAGAAGTTATCTGAGATTTCCCCTAGGATGAACCTGTGACCTCCAAAGATAGCCTAGGGGACGGTATCGGATCGAAAAACAGCCAAGACATGGCGTAGTAAGGGCTCCCAAAACAGACTTCGCAGGACGTACACACCCAAGGCGGCATGTTGCTAAGCGTTGGGAAAGCTGTAGAGGTTGCCCTGTTCGCACCGGGACCCACACTTGACACGCAGGCAGCGTATTGCAGCCACCTGTATGTAATGATGTGCGCATTCAAAAAGCTCGTCATACTCCTTCCATGCGGCCTTTTTCGTAACATTCCAACCCCTGATTTTACTTCTTTTCCAAAGCCTCCTATTTCCCTAAGTACACTGATTTCCTCGTTTTTTTTGCCCCTTTTGCAGTATTGCGGACTATCACTTCCATTACCCGTCTGAAACTAGGCAACTCAAAATTATCGTGAACTGTGCCTTTAACTTATAAGGTTCCAAAATATTTACCTTTTCTCTTCCTTCTTGCGCTCTTCGGATTCACTGCGTTCGTGCGTTGCTTCCATAGACTCGACACGGAGATGTTGTTGTTTCTCCAGGGTTTGCTCGACTCCTACCATGTACTCGGATGCAGATTCTGTATGAAGTAATAAGGGTGATGCTTCACGAACACCACGCATAACGACGCCTTCCACCTCTACCTCGACCATACGCCTACTAACGGATAATTCCTCCGTCTCAGCATGTTCATGGCGGGCTGCCTCCGTTTCGATACGGACTTCACCCTCATCTCGTGATTCTGTCCCGACAAATGTGGCCATAAACTCTGTTGGTTGTTTTTGGTAACTGTAGTTGAGATGGAATATCGTTTCCTCGCTACATTTTGATACCAGAGCAGTTGGCTCAATCTTGCGTGCCTCTTTTCTTGTTTCGTGGACTTCCTCAGCAGAGATTCGGGTGCAAAGCACCTCCTTGTTAGCCGTGATTGACTCTTCTGTTGAAGCTTTTGTACTGAGATGCAGGGTCTCTTCTCGAGCAATCTTGAGCGAAAGAGAATTTTCCTCTTCTTTTCCTCGGCTCTCCAGGCTGACGCTGACAGTATCAGGAGAAATTTCACTGGCTGCGCTGCAGAACAGGTTTGTCCCTCCGCCGTACCTTGCTTCCTTAAGCGTCGATTCCTCTGAGACATTGCTTGGCTCTCGGTGAAGGACGTAATTAGTTGAAATACTATTCTGTTCGGCCTCTTTGGAATTGAATATGATTGGTGCTGCGTCGTTGGAAGTGATTCTAGTGACCATGACACCTTCACTTGATGACTTTCCACTGCTCATAGCAAAACCGGAACCGACGATCTCCTCTGAGGTGGCGCTCAAATACTTGTCCATGGACTCTTCTCGGCTGATGGTGCGGATTACTTCCGTTGTGATAGTGTCAAGCGGTTTGGAGAGGCACGATGTGATTGCAGTATGGTTTTCTTCTGCATAGCTAGTCTGCAACTCTACGGTACCTCCATAAGCGGCCAACTTGACAATTTTTTCGACATCCATGTGGCTGTCGTCGCGTCCGAGATGAACATTGTTGACCTCTTCTACGCTGGTTGATTCGTAAATGGATTTGATAACTGGTTCTCCTAGACGTGGAGCATCCTTCTTGATCGTGCTTAATTCCGTTTGTGAAGTTTTTTGTAACTGAACGCTTGTACCAATAGCACTGTCTTCGGTGGCAGACGCGAAAAGCTCGATCGGCTTCTCCTCGTTGCGCAGGACTTTCGTTATATTGGCTTCCATTGCATCTACGCGTTCCTTTGTCCAGTCCTTGTCGACGCGCATTGTCTCCTCGGAAGCATGTCCAGTAGATAGTTGATATTTGCCTCCTTCCCTGGGTATGAAGACTGTCTCTGAAACGGACGCCATACTTTCATCGCGTTCATAGACTACACTCGTAATTTCGGATACCAAGCTTGATTCGCGCATTTCTACTGCAACATCAATACCACGATTTGCCGCCTCCTTCACCTCTCTGATTGACTGAGTATCACTAAGACGAGTGAGATTAAATACGCCTGATGTGGACGCTTCCTTAGAACATTCACAGGAGAGAATAGATGATTTATCAGTATTGCAGTCTTTGATAATGATTGAAGCATCCAATTCGTAAATACCCACGCCGTGAAGATCAGAATCAACCTCGACATGGACATCTTCTGAGAATTTCGTGGAAATAATCGTTGGCTCGATCGAGTGGGGTATGAATCGAGTGACGGCGTTGTCTGCCCTTTCGCCCTTCCTGTGGAGCTGGATAATGATGTTTTCATTGACACTGGTAGTTTCGCCCGCTGTTACCATCACGTGTTCGCCAATATTCGGCTTCTTTAAGATGACCGTTTGCTCCTGGAAACTGCTTGGTTTGGTCCACTCTTCATTGATTGTTTGAGTCTCTACGCTAGAAGCATATGTTGAAAGTATAGCACCGGGAATGGTGTTCGCGATCACGACAACCTTTTCGGTAGAAACGAGAGCCAAACGGGTGGCGACCAGCGTATTGTCTGATTCCGAAGAGCATTCTCGGCTGTGTTTAGTGGTCAGAGCAACTGCTCCTCCAATCCTTTTCTCTTTCAACGTTCCTGCAGCTTGCTCGGCTTCGCTGTCACGGCTGTAGACGCAATTAGCTGTTTCATGACTATCCCCTGCCTCTCTTAGCGTTTTCATGAACACATCTACGTTGGGGGCATTTACTTTTTTCGAGACGGTGTATTGTTGAGGTGCTCGAGTCCAATCTTTCTCTACTATGCGAACTTCTTCGCTACACGCAAGAGTGCTGAGTTTAAGAGGACTGACGCTATTTCCTATTACTATAATTTTATGAGCGGACAGATCAGTGGGTCGTGGGCACAGCAAAGTGCCACCCATGGCAGAATAAGTGTCAGTAGCGAATTTTGTTGTAAGCTGCACTGCTCCTCCATAGCGTTTTTCGTCAATGACCGTTGCCTCCTGGCAGCTACTGTCATCACGCCGAAGATAGGAGGTCATGATGACACCATTATCCTCAGATTCTTTTGCTACGAACACTGCAGGTATACCTTGATTAGAAGCAGCGTATACCTTGCGGACTTCCTCCCTCACTTCAAGACGATTCAATACATGACTTGTTAGAGAAAGTGCTGTTTTGCTTGCTTGTGCATAAAGTTCAATAGGTGCGGTGTCGTTAGCGATAATTATGGCAATTTGGGTCTGATATTCTTTCACCAAGGGCTTGGCGAACTCTGTAGTGTAGCTCACAGTCTCGTCGCCAGCGGCGAAGGTGCTCAATGAGTGTCGTCCACCTTGTTCTGCGATGTACAGTGTGCGGTCTAAATCGAATTTCTCGCTCGACTTTGAAAGCATAGGATGAATATGTTCAACGAATTCCGCGCTCTCTTCCACTCTCAATTTAACGCTTTCTGAGTTCACCGCGTCAATCTTCTTAGAAATTACATAGGAGACGTCCTCGCGCTTCCACACCCTGTCTACTGTTGAATTTATTGTTGAGCAGGATCTCATAGATAAACTCAGAGGTTCAATGCGTTGGACTATGATGTTCTTCTTTTCACAGTGTGCAATGACGTCTCGAACTTTCTCCAGCTCTCTGTTAGCTATCACTTCATGCTCTTCTGACGCGTCCGTCTTGAGATGATATTGGCCTCCGAACCATGCAATGGCGTGCATCTTTTCTGCGGTCTCCTTCATTTCCTCCTGCTCGTACTGTTGATAAATAGTATGCTTCTCTTCTCTACTCTCTTTCATCGTGACCGTAATATTGGAGCCGCGATTAAGGTCTTCATGGACCTTAGCAACACAATCTTCACTGTCTTTTCTTGTGTAAGTTGTAGCGAAACCTATCGATTGAGATGTCGGTTCAAAGGTCTTACAGAATGTCGGTGCAATTGTGTTGAAATCCTTTACAACGGTAGTAGCAACGGCAAATTGCGGTTCGATGCTCAGAGCTGGGTTTGAATCTAACCGCACGTCTTCGGCAGCATCACAGCTGAGTTCTTCTGCATCTCCAGCCACTGGTATCTGTAACATTTTCTCGAAAGCTCCGCTGGACTCCTTGGTAGTAAAGTTGAAATAGGTATTTGCGAACTCCTCCAAGCTTTCCAAGAATCGAATTTTGAACGGTTCAGCATGGTTTGGACAGAATCTGAGTGTCAACGCTTCTTCACTCTTCGCCTTTGTCTCGTAACTCAGATTCAAAGTAATGACCTCCGTTGAAGCAGCTGTGACATTTAGGCATATCTCTGACTTGATTTTTTGCGTTTGTTTGTGACGCACAGCCTCAAGTTGGACCTTCTGTACCAAAGCCACTGCCGTTTGACGGTCCTCTGCTGTTGCCGCCTTGCCATATAAAAAGTAATCTCCCCCAAAGCGTTTGTCAACCCATTTGCAATCCGATTGTTCCGCGAGTTGTGGAAGTTCAAATGCCACTCCCATGACGACAACCTCTTCTCCGCTTTCCAAGCAGGAGAAATCCACGTTGGTTCCCGTGTTGCTGATACAAATCAGCTTATTAAACTGCTCCTTTTGTGGCGCAACAGACCAATCAGCTGCCACAGCATGCTCTTCTTCTTTGCTTTCTTTCGTTCTGAGGAATATTCCATCCCATCTTGGGATTGCCTTTGTCTTCTCTGCCTCTTCACAGATCATCTCTCTATGGTTCAGCTGAGCGTAGAAAACAGTGTGTTCATCACCGAATTCTTCCGTCTCAAGCATTATTCCTTCCGTCCAATTCGCTAAAGGCCAATCATAAGCAACTTTATCGACTCCACCCTTGCTTCCAAGTAGTTCCACAGCCAAACGAATCTTCTCGTCACCACTCTCCGCGGTCTTCATCTNCAATCCGGGTGCCGTGTTTGCTGAGGTGAACTTCTTACCGACAGTGAATTGAATAGGTGTTTTGAGAAGATGGTGGTCACTCCAAACGAGGTCGGTCTCAACGGCATCTGCCTTTATGTACACTGGAGCGGCTGAAATGCAGATCTTGTCTGATATGAGTATTTCTTGTTTTCGAATTGGTTTTTGTACATCGAGTTTGACCAAACTAATAACGGCGTTAAACTTGACGTCACCGCTCTCCTTCAATCTCCACGATTCCTTTCTGAGTATCTTTTCTGGGAGAGTGACTTCAGTAGAAGTGATTTCTCCAGCCTTTCCAGTAAAGTTCGCTTCTGTACAGCACTCTTCTATAACAAGTCGTATGGAAACTTTTTCACTGGGAACAACTCGCTTAAGTACAGCGACATGGACCAGTTCCTCTGGTAGAACCATTCCTTTCGTTAGGGTCTCAACTTCCTCAGATGTTTGGAACGTCGCCAGACTGGATTTCACTTCTAACCTCTTCGGTAGGTACACCTCAGCTTCAAGGTCACGTTCAACTCCTTCCCAATTGGAAAGGATTTCAATGGCTCCATCTTCTGCTTCTCTGAAACGCTCACTGCTTTTCTCCCTGATGAAATACTTCTGTTTGGCCAAGGTAGAAGAACTGTGGTCTGCGCACTTGTTGTAATTCGCCGAAGTACTGACTGCGATATCTGTTGAGTGCTTCGTAGAAAGAGCTATTCTTTCCTTTCTTGCAATTCTTGGTACGACTTCTGCCTTCAGTGAAGGGCTTGGTAAAGTTAGTTCTACAGTTGACTCGCGACGGTCATCAGTAGCTGCTTGAGTAGCGAAAAGTTGCTGAAGAGATGTAGAAACGCTCACAACATGGCTACAAGATTCTCGAGTTTTTGGCAGAGTTCTGCGTACAAGAGTGATGCCACTATCGCTGTCCGTTTTTTCGTATTCTCGGAAAGATACACGAAGACCAGACTCTCGATTGATTTCATCGATAAGTTGCTCAATTTCGGCAAAATCTTGGTCTATGTGGTGAATCTGAAGAGTGCGATCTTCATGGTCAATAGAAAATGCTCTCAGCTGTTTTTCAGTAGTAACAGAAGGCATGAATAGGGTTGCACCAGCTGTAGCTTGATCTCTTGCGATCCATTGGTCATTTGAGGCATCTTTCATAGTTGGGGCCTTTGTGGAGAATTTGAAGCTTTCGCTTAATATCTGTGCTTTGGTCACTTCCGCTTCTAGATCGTTCAGGATAGTCTGCCATTCGGAAGCCGTTGATTGAAGATTCCACTCCTGTTCGAGGAACTTCTTCTGGGCACGTTCTTTTGACCGTCCTCGGAGTTTTATGCTAGCGCTTTCTTTGGTTCCAGCCTTGGAGTACGAAGTCGTGGTGTTAGCGGCTTCAAATGAGCTTGCCTTAACATAGGACTCTGATTTCAAGTCATGAGTGATGTAAACAGTCTTCCTCACATCTGCTTGTTTATCGTTTCTTCGTAGCACCAACGTGATCATCACCTCATGGTCGCCAGCGGCCTTTGAGCTGAAGAACTCAAGCCATCGTCGTGGCACTGGAAGAGATCCTTCGGCTTCATCACTCTCGTACTTCTTCTGGGTGATTTTACCGAAAAGGGTGCATAGTTGAGTTTTTTCATCGCCATACTCATGTAGTTTTGCAGAGGTCAACTCCTTCATTGAAAGGGTGTTGATACTTTCCGAAACATCCTCGTCCTCTACCCGTTCAAGGTGTTTTTCCGACTTTGTCATTTGGATTTGAAACTTTCGCTCCTGCATTTCACTTCTTTTAAGTGGGATGTCTGTTCGTGCGACCTGTACGCTATCAGCTCGTTCTATATTCAGTGATGATCCAGTGCTTGTTTCTTCAACCGCGCGCATACTTGCCGCCAATCTGGCCTGATTGTCAACCGCAATTGCTTTAGAATCAGACGAAACATTCTCATAAGTCTCATATTGTGATGAAGTCACTTCTTCTTTAGTTTCTGGAATACGTCCTGTTTCCTGTACTACAGAACACACTTCCTTGGTTACAATATCTGCTCTTTCTATACTGTCCTGTCGCCCAAGCGTCACAGTGGAGGTCGAGGCTGTCTCCTTTGCTGAAGCAACTTGCTTTTGAAGCCTCATCGAATTATTGAGAACGACCAATTTCCTGCTGCTTTCAATTTCAGAAGCTTTCTGAAGCTGTTGTTCAGCGGAAACCTCGAGCTCTTCCGATGCCATTGTCGAATGCACTTGGACGAGTTTCCTCACATCTGTTAAGCTCCTAATTACATCCTCGTGAGAGTGTGTTTTTACTGGAATCTTTCCGAACTCCACTGATGTAGCAGTACTATCCTCGCCGTATTCATGGAAGCTTCTGTAGTCTACTGATTTTCTTGCTTCTGGAGCAGTAGATTGAGCGGCGTCCTCGGAAGCGCTTCGTTGCAGAGTCAAGCTGGTTTGAATATCGTCTGAACTAAGCTGTCGCACTACAGACTCTGATGATCCTAAAGGTAGCTCTAGCTCGTAGTTCCGAGCTGGTCTCCGAACGGCTAGATTAAGAGTGGTGCCAACGTCAACTTCCGACACCGATTTGGTGAGAAGTTGCGAAGACTGCTGATCTGCTTCCTTCCAACAGATCAGTGCCGCTTGTTCTGTTTCAATTACATCCCAGTGAGTGGTGAGTCCTTGAACTTCCGAAATGAACTCTTTGTATTTCTGAGATGAAAGTATTTCATCGCGGGACGTACGTAACTCACGTTGAGCTCTTAATTCACTCTCACTTCTCGATAGATGCCGAGTAATATTCGCCTTTTCTTCACTGGCAGCCTTAAGGCATACAACACTCTTCACCTTGTAGAAATCATTTACTTCTTTATCTATTCGTGCTTCATTCGAGTCAACTTTCATTTCCATAAAGGTGCTCGTCTGGTCATCACTCGTTGCCTGTAATCGCCTTTCGAGCGAGAGTGTTCTTGAGATCTTCTTTGTCATTCCAACGTGTTCCTTATGGGCTGTGGGGGCTTCGATCCTAGAGAGTGAAAGAGCGTGACTGCTTTCCTCGCTACCAAACTCACGATAGACACTCTCTTGGTGTTCGCGTTCAGAGTAGTCCCGCCGGCCTGTAAAGTCAGCGGTTTGCGTTGGATATGCTAATTCTACAATTTTTTCTCGTTCGCTAATTTCTAAGCGTCGTTTATCGCTCGCTCGCTCACTGTCGCTGATGATTCGCGTAGCGTCACTCGAGGGAGTCATACTTAGTTCATACTGTCCCTCTGTGACAGCATCGCTGGTCGCAACTACATCTTTAATCGTTCGTTCTATTTCCAACGCATGACTTCTAAGCGTCATTTCTGTGTCTGCCTTTGCATCTACTGTTGTCAACATTGCGGCCGCAGTTTCATCTTGAATTTCTTTGGCGGTCAGAGTGCCTTTCAGTCTAGTGATCTCTGTCAACAGTACTGAATTGCCCTCTTTGTGTTCTTGATTGCTTTTGTCTATTCCTAACACGATTTGGTGCTCTTCAGCAGCTTTCATTCTAGCCTCACCGCCAACTTCTTGCTTATCTACTACCCGATGTTGAGCCATTGCTTGCCCCTCCTCTTTGGCGAAATTAGCTGTCTTGTCAGCTGTACATTCTTTCGGTGCCTCCAAATTTTCTTGCAGACGTACCGTATTAGTGCTACTAATCACCACATTTCTTCCCTCAAATTGGTCTTTAGGAGGTTGAATAGTTTGGGAGAAAATTCCGAGTGCAACCTCTTCGTTCGTGAGCTCTCTGAAGACTCCCGTCAAAGACGTGGCGGTTTTCTCATCCAATCGCTCACTGACGGATGTTTGACTGTCAGGCTTTCTGACGACTGCGGAAGCGACCGCAGATGCGATACCATAGCTCTCAACTACGGACTCTTGTTGCTGATCAACCAAAGTTCCCTGCACTGAATCCGAGAGGTCACGCATCTTAGCTTCAGTATGGGACACTTCGTTGTATTCAGAAGCAGCCGTAGAGAGCAACCCTCTCTCTACCGACTTTTCTCGTTCTTTTAAAGTTATTGAAGTTTCGGTCCCAGGTGTGCAACGCCATAGCCCTTGCACTTGCTGTTCGCTGCTCTCTCGTACTTTCATTTCACAAGTCTGCGAGAGCTTTTCTTTGAGTCTAACACCTGCCAATTCTGTTTGTTGGTCTACACTCATATTCTCATCCTTACTCGTTGAGGTTAAAGTAGTTGCCCGGGTTGCCTTTTCCTCTTTCCTCCTAAGGGCTTCTTGAATCACCCTGACGGACCCTACTGCAGTTTCATCCTTTCGTAAGTCAAGAGATTCATCTAACTTCACATCCTCAGTTGCTTTCACCTTCTGCTCTATTCCCAACTTCCTTTGAATATCCATTTTGGCGGATGCCTCATCATACTCGTCCAGGCGCGTCTCGATGAATCCTAGTGAAGCACCCATTTCAGCACTTTCCTCGTTGAATTCCCTGACCTTCCCAGAGGAGGAAGCAGTTGCTATATCCTTTTTATTTACCACAACCACTTCTTCCTGCGGAGACCTTTGACAAGTTGTCGGGATTTGTTGGTTTTCAATGTTGAATTGTCTTGAACCACCTTCTTTTTGTATAACAGGGAGAACCGATGTGATATCAAGAGCAGGCCCCGCTTCCAATTTGACATCAGCTTGCACTTCATCCTCACTACACGCACTTGCGGAGAACTTCACATTTGTTGATTCCAAACTCAAGCTTTGAATACTTTTTTGGGAACTGGCTTTAGTATTGACAGAATCCCATATGCCGTAAACGGATGTTTCCGATACTTCCTTGCTAGAAATCCCAGTGCTCATCCTGCTAGCCTCCGGCAGCGACATTGCAATCCCGTGGGATGGAGCTCCTTTTGCTTTTCTGTAAACCACTTCAGAAAAGTCTTC